CCAATAATATTGACACACCATATACATATACAATGTATAGAACTCAACAGCTGGGACATTAAAGCTCATCTCCAGCAGTTGAATCCGGATGCCAAAGTTCAATCAGAGAATGAGCTAAGCACTCCACTACGGTCTTTGGCAGAAACTCTCAGTGTCTAAAACTATGCAACATAATTCGAGCAGCGGCTGTGCAGCAGTGCCGCAAAGTAGACTTAATTAGCTGATTGAGTGCCACACCTGAACAGGTGGGCAGGAGGGCGGGGTGGGTGTGTATGTGAATGAAGAACCGGTCGGTTAGCTGACCTAATTAGCCAACGCTCAATGCTCGACGCCTGAGAATGTTTATCGCTGGCAAATACAATGCGCAACCTCTGCCTGCAGCAAAAACCCGTCGCATAATTTCTCAGCGCTTCAATTTGGCAAACTTTGCGGCTGAGATATGTCAACTCTGCCGCAGACGTCATCGATGTGTGAGCGTGTGTGTATGCGTGTGTGTGTGTGTGTGTGTGCTTGACTCGAGCAAAGCTAATTTCAATGCGAATGTTAATTAAACTCACATCACACATGTCACCTGGCAACGGACCAATAGAAATTTATGCATTCCCCGAGCTGATTTGTTGCAGCTCGCAAAGCTCCAGCTCCAGCTCGCTGATGGCTTCATATAAAAGTGTTGCAACTGATTGTTGGCTAGCGCATTTAACGCTGACCGCAGCACTGGACTAGCGCCCTCTCTCCACTCTTCTTACCGCTCTCTCGCCCACATCCTAATCCCAGCATGATGATGYCCGGGCAGCCGCAGTTGCTGCTGCTGCTGTGCATCAGCTTTGGCTGCATTGCAGTCACATTTGGTCAGGGTTTGGCTGTGCCCACGCGCCAGCTGCTGGCGCCCAGCCTGCGCTTTGCCGAGAGCTTCGAGATCTTTGACGGCAACGAGGCGGACGAGGACGAGGTGGTGGGCACAGGCGAGCAGCTGCGACAGCTGCTGGGGCAGCAGCTGACCAGCGCTGTGGCACCACTGACAGCTGCACCACTCGCCGTGCTGAGCCGCCGACGGCCGGGCATTATGGCGCCCAGATCAGCCACGGCTGCTCTTCAGCTCTTCGTTGACTCTGCCGAGTCCGATGAATCTGACGACGGCGAGGACAGCGATGAGGCAGACAACGATGGGGATACGAATACGAATACGGATGCAGATACGGATACGGACACAGATACGGACACGGATACGGATACGGATACGGACACGGATACGGGCCCCGCCCAGCAGCCAGTGCCACAGCCCGAACAGGTTCCTCAAGAGGTGCCGCAGCAGCTGCCCCAGGAGCCGCCGCAGCAGGATTACAATCCATATCGCGACAACTTCAACGACCGCAACGAGGATGGCAGCTACGTTTTCGGGTGAGTCAGCAGCCGACGCACCAACGCCACCGCAACCACTCTAAACCACTGCCCAACCCACATCCAACAGCTATTCGCTGCCGAACGGCGTGCGCCGCTGGGAGCGTGGCTTCTTCTCCGAGCACCAGCACCACGGTCTAGTGGTCGAGGGCTTCTACGCCCAGCCACGGCACTACGGGCACAGCATCCAATACGAGCTGCGCTGCTATCGCGCCGATGCCCATGGCTATCAGCCGCTGGCAGGTATACCAGAAATATATACTATGTATATCTTTGAGATATATATAATTATCTCTCTTTATTATTCATAATCTGATTGATAAATATTCTTTCTTGCAGTCGAGTATCTGCAGCAGCCGCCTCGAGTGCGCCGCTTTGAGTTGCCCAATGTGAGCTGTTTGAGCTTTAATCGATAACTAGACTATCGATCACTATCATATCGAACAGAATAACCTTAGCTATGAATTTCTCGTACCTAATTTTTTTTGTGCACGTAATAAAATGAAATACCTGTAATGGTTATCTATTGAGCAGTTTATTATCTCTGTTTATACCCTGAAACCTTTAAATATGGAAAGTCAGGGTATACGGTTTTTATACCCTGAACCCATTTTCAATGGGAAATCAGGGTATAATGGTTTTGTTGAAATGTATGTAACAGGCAGAAGGAGGCGTGGCAGACC